GGGGCACGGGTGGGCTCCCTGAAGCCCCGTGATCCGCTGGCTTTGCAAGGATTGCTCAGCGGGCCAGCAGTGGCTGTAGTCCCCCCGTCCCCCAACGGGCTTAGTTTAAAGCCCGGTGGAGCAGGGCTTTAAACTCCACTGGGCTTTAAACACAAGATATTGTGTCTTGTCTCTGTTTTACAAGGAGATGCACAGAACACTAAGCTTTTTTATGTTGGTAGGCCTCAGACTAATTGATTAGTGCAGCAGAGTGCAGGGGGAAGAGGAGCAACAAGGCTGGAATGGAATTACTCTTCTCTTGTCAGCCACCCACATAGCTCTCCCTAATTTTATGACATCATTAAATATATATACATCTGATCTGCAGAGTTTTTAGAGGGAATGAGGCAAACAAATATGTATAGATGCTTCTGTTTATTGCTTATTTTGTGAATTAGTCATAATAGCTCAATCTGTGGAGAGGCAGCCCGTTCAGAATACATTAAAAGTATTTTCTGTTACATAGCTGTGCATCTAATTAAATGAATTAATGTGCAGTATTCGCTGCTCCTAATTCATAATTATTGTAGTTTTTTCCCTTTCACAGATAGAATTGTTATAGTATTTGCAGTTACATAAAACTGAACAGCTAAAAAGAGTTGCCATCTGTAGCTCACAGTTCTTGTATGAACACAGTTCTGCAATAGCTGTGATAGTTTTAAGATCTCATTCCAATTTTTTGTGAAGAATTCTGTGTGTCTTTACACAGTTTTCAATCACTAAATGGACTAGCATGATTACAAAACTTTACATTTTTTAATCATAGTCATACAGCTGGAAGTAGCTCATGATTTGCAAATGACACCAATTTGAGTGGAATTACAGACATTCTGGAGGGCAGGGCTTGGATCCAGAATGACCTGCATAAACTGGAAAGGTGGTCTGCGGTCAATCAGATGATATTCAACAAAGACAAGTGCAAAGTCCCATACTTGGGACAGAATAATTGCATGCACAAATACAGACTGGGAATGACTGGCTATGTTGCAGTACTGCAGAGAAGAACCTGGGTATTATACTGGACCCTAAGCTGAATGTGAGCCAAATAAAAGCCAACAGCATATTAGGTTGTATTAGCAGAAGTGTCACTGGCAAATCAAGGGAAATGATTCTTCCTCTCATTTCAGCACTTGTAACGTCTTACCTGAAGAACTGTGTCCAGTTTTGGGCCCCACACTTCAAGATAGATATGCGCAGATTGGAAAGAGTCCAGCAGAGAGTGACAAAAATATTAGAAGCCTGGGAAGCATAACTTACAAGGAAAGGCTGAAAGAACTAGGATAATTTAGTCTGGGGAAGAGAAGACTTGGGGGGGCAGGGATTTGATAATAGTCTTTAAATACCTGAAGAGCGATTATAGAGAGGGATAGAAATAGCCTTCTTTCTATGACTGTAGGGAATAGGACAAGAAGCAAAGACCTCCTCAAACTGCAGCAGATGAAAAATAGGTTGGAGATTAGGAAGAACGTTCTGACTCTGAGGTTGGTTAGGCATTGGAACAGACTACCTACAGAACTTGTGAAATCTCCATCCCTGGAAATTTTCAGCAGCAGGTTAGAGACACTTGGCTGGGATTGTTTAGTTAGGGCTGATTCTGCCTGGAGCAGGGGACTGGATTAAGTGACCTTTATGAGGTCCTTGCAGCCCTGCTTTCCTATGATCCTATAATGTAGTACATAGATACTAGTGTACCCTAGTTTAAGAAGTTGCATTATGCAGAGAGAGGGAGCTTTAATTTACATTCCCCCATTTGTGCCAGCACTTTCTCTGGAATAGAAATGAAGAGTATCTCCAAGAGAGGTACCATTTAAGAACATATGTCACGGAGAAGAGGCTTTGCGGAGGTTCGGGGTCTGAGAGGACACAAAGGGAAGAAATGCTCAAGTTTTAGCACTGTTAATCTTTGATGGATTTTTTTTCAATCTTTTAGAACTGATAGATGTCACATGTACGCTGCTGCTGCTAAACCCAGACTTCACCACTGCATGGAACGTCAGGTATGTCACACTCAGCAAATGACTTCAGAAAGAGCTTAGCCAGCTGCCTTCAGGCTGAGTCAGCCATAAGCTTTGTTTTAAGTGAGATTTAACAACACAGCAACAGCTTTTTGGATAAGATGTGCTGAAACAATATTTGGAACCTCTTCTGTTCTGATGTCCCGTGTAGCTAACGTGTCACATTTCACACCCTTTTTTTTTTCAAATGCAAATTAAGGGTTATGCCACTCTATTTGAAAAGAGATCTTGGATAAAGAAGTTATTTTATGGAAGGACTATAGCTGCTGCTTCCACCCATCTATTGGTCAGCATTTTCATCTTGGTTTAAATTCCTGTAAAATTCCACCTCTGTTTGCTAAGATTTTTCATTCTGAGCCCCTGCATTATACGAGGTTACCTTTGAAGAGTAACTGTGTTATATGAGAAACGTTTCTTTGTTTACAGTGAATGAAACTGATTGTAGCTGGCAAAAGCCTTATCCGTGGGTGGCTTTTCTTCTGTATAATAAATGAAAAGGGGGAATTAAATATTCAGATTTTATATTACATGGAGCCTGGAGTGTCCCTTTTGCCAAGACGTCATGTTTAATCAGCATTTTGTTCATTCTCCCTGGCATCAGATAAACCAGAGTTTCCTTTTGCACTAAAGAGCATTTCTAAACTAACTTACCTTATGGGGTAGTTTAGAAAGCACTGAGCAGTCTGACTGTCTTAAATCCTAACCTGTTGCAGATGAGAGGAAATGAGTTAATAGAATACAGATATATCTCCTTCTTCCCAAACCACTGGGGGAAGAAAGGAACAAAGCAGTCCCGAAATATAATAATAGTGCTTAAGACTTTTGTAGTGCTCTACATGCAAATCAGTAAGTACACTTAGGGAAATGGAGACAAGCCATATGTATGATGAATTAGTCTCAGGCTCTGAACTGAATACTTTGACTCCTCTCCTTTCCTGCATAACAAAGGACTTGCCTACTGGATTAGACTAATGATTTGTCTAAATGATCCATCTGGCCTAATATCCTATCTCCAACAGTAGCTAATACTAGGCACTTCCAAGGGAGCTGTCAAATCCTCATTAATGGTCAATTAAAGAATAACTTGCCTATAAGAGAAATTTTTGCCAGGTGTCAAAGTGGGTAGTGAATTTCTTAAGAGATATTGCAGCTGATGTAACCATGGAAGTTATCTGTGTAAATGGCTAACCTGCCTTTATTGAGTTCTGCTGGGCTGTTCTTTTATTTTTCCAAAATCTAGGTCTTTATAACATTTTGTGGCAGAGTTCAACACATCAGTTTGTGCAGAAGAAAAAAACAGCTTTCTTTTCATCTGTTAAGATAGCCTGTTGCCTTTTTAATTAGGTGTTTCTTTGTTCCAGTATTAGAGGGTGCCCAGTTGACCTTCGCTGTTGTAATTGGCTTAAAGTTACCTCTGCCAGGATTGTGCACCTTTATCATTTTGAGCCTCTGGTAGTTCACTCACTAGCACAGTAACAATACAGCTCATCTGAGTTAAATATCAACAATTCAAGTTCTGCCTTTTAGACATCCCCCAAAGTGAAGGGAGAGCTCTGGGACTGGCTTTGATCCCAGGCATCTCTGCAGATCCTTCAGTCCACATGGGAATCTACATGCCATATCCTCAGTCATGACAGTGTAGCCCTGCTTCACCAGTATATGTGAAGAGGAAACAGGAACCAGCTTCCTTGCTCCTGATGGCGAAGCAGTTCCTTACATTTCCCTAAGTAAAGAGACTGAAGCTAATCTTAAGTCTTGCACAGAGCGCTTTAGTAGGAATAGTCTCTTTCTGCCCTTCCCCCTACTTCTCACCCCCCTTGAAGGATAACTGGAGGGGTTTCCTAAAAATGCAGCTCTATGTCTGGGTAGATTAAAGTGCTTACAAATACAGGTTTTCTGCTGTTCAGATGGCTTCATGCAGTAGGAAGAATGCAGAAATGAGTCCATTAATACTGTATTTCTAGTGAGTAACTATCAGATCCAGATAAAGCAAGCTCCATTTTTTTTCTGTCTATAGTGTATTTATCAAGGTTTCTGCTGCGAACCAATTCTTTGAAGTATCATTGATGTAAGAAAAAGGGAAGTAGGGGTCATAAAAGGTTGACTCTATCGTGAGAAAAATGTATCTTTGAGTATTCTTGAAATGATAAAATTGATGGGGCATTTAAGTTGAAAAATAGCTTGTGATCCCATTCAGTAGCATTACTGTGTGTCAGCTTCTCAGGAGTTGCTTTCAGTAATGTTCCCTGTCGCTGTGCTGCTGCTGCTTAGTTGAGCCCATTTTTTCTAATAGCAATACATCTCCTGTCTGTCCATCCTCATCACCTTATATTTTAACTGCTTGAAAGCTAAAAGGGTTTGCAAGTGCAGTCTGTTAAGACCATTTTATTTTGAGTCACAAATACAATTCGGATAAATGCCTTGGCAATAAGGATTGTACATTCCTTCACGTAGTGCAATCCGTGTGGTGGTTCCTAAATCTAAATGAAGAAATGGTCATACTCCCATAAACTCTGAAACAAACTGGAAATAAATTATGTTCTTATACTCTTAAACAGTTGTGAAAGATTTAGAGCAATGGTACTCAACCTGTACCCTGTGGACTGGATCTGGTCTATGGAGCCATGTCATTCAGCCCTGGTGGCTCACCATGGGTGCAGAAATTTGGCAGTGGGGGAGTAGTAACAACATAAATTCCCATAGTTCCCAGAGCCACAGCAATTAACACTGCCACTGATCCCCCACCACCAAATTTACAGACCCATATGAAGCCCATATAGCATAACTGAGGGAGGATGACCAGGGAAGCAGTCCCAGGTGCTGCCTTTGGAGGTGAGGGGTGCAAAATTAGCCACCACCATAGCAGTGCGTGACCCCATTGCTGCCATCATCATGGTGGCAGCCAGTGCTGCCCTATGCATTGCAGCTTCCCCACACATGGAGCTGCCCTGCTATACCTCGAGGAAGCTGTGCTGACCAGCTGACATGGCCCTGCATGCCTGATATGAAAGAGAAACACAAGAGAAGACAGAGTGGAGCAGTAGAGCAGTTATCAGTCAGAAAAGGTGGATGAGCCTAGGGGATATGAGCCACAAAAATAAAACACCAACAGAAGCACACAGCTGAGCGCACCAGAAAATGAAACCTCCCTCTGACTGTGTTTGTTAGTGATCAAAGACGTGGGGTGCCTGAGAGAGAAAAAGATTGGATCTGGGTTTTTCAGCTATAGTTGAGTAGTACAGCAGCAGTTAACTTTATAAAAAAGGTAAGCACTAGTTTAATTTTCTAGCCAGGCCAGAGTATACTTTGCAATAAAATAAATTACAGTTTGATTATGTGCTGCTATGCCAATGCACAACTTGTTTTTAATTTTAGGAGATAGATGGCTTCTCTTTAAGAGCTCATTAGTGTTGCCATTACGAAGTTGGCCACTACAGCTAGGGCCCGATAGTTTAATTTGCAAATTTGTCCTTGACTCTCATTCTATTTTATACACTCACATAAAACCCATGCGTATTTGGATGGACTGGATTTGACTTTTTTATTGTGTAAAATATCTGTGGAGGGAAGAATAGGCAGGGAAGTATTTTCCACTGCCAGTTCAGGTTATACTGGAAGTTTATGGGCCACATAAGAGTGAATCCAGTGGCACAGAAATATATGGTACAGTTGAGGGGTATGATAACTGAGTGATAAATGCCGTTTCCATAATGGATGGGAAACTAAATATTCATGGAGGAGAGAGAGACCGTTTGGTATAGTTTACAAAAGAAATAAAAGCTCTTGTGAGAGCAGCTCTTTCAACAGTAAGTCCGAGCCTTTAGAAATGATTCCTTCAATGTACCCACTTCCTTTGCTGTTCTTATGAAATGTGGAAGCAGAAAATGTTGCTTAGTCTGCAAGGTGATTCTGTTACTACATTTTTTTCTTAATATATAACAAGAAGAGAAACTGTGTTTCTTCACCTTGTTTAATGCAGCTTGCACAGTAACTAAACACAGTTTAAATGTTAGAGGTTTACTACTACTTCCAGGCCAAAAAGTAGCCTTAATTTTGAATCAAGCTATTGAAACTGGAAAGGGACTATTTCACTCTCTTGAGAAGGTATCACAGAGGTGTATGCAGAGAGCTAGATTTATTAGAGTACTCACTGGTGGAACCACAGATGGGTAACTGAACAAGGGTCAGCGTACATCAGATTGAAAGTGTCTCAAAATAAATTCAAATTCTCTAAGTCCCAAGAGATGACAGCAACCTCAAGCTCTTGCTGATGGCTCTGAGGCAGTTGAGAGGTATCCTGACATTATTTTTCATATAGGCTAGAATACTAAAGGCAATTAGAACAAAACAAAAACCAGAGTCAGTGACATTGTTGCCCAAGTTTGGCATAGTCTTAAGGAGCCCAAAGAAGGCAAATTTGTAAGCTTGTTGTCTTTTGTGATGGATTTTAGTCACACCTATAATTGAATCTGTTCTTTTTCAAGGGGGTGCTTTCATGTTGAGAATCTGCAAAACCCAGAAAGTACTATGCTGCTACTGCAGCAGTGAAAGACAGCCAGGCCTTTATGTTTGGAAATCTACCTTGAAGCACTGAAAATTAAAAGGGCAAGTACTTTTGGGACTGTAGAGTTGCAGACTATTATTCACTGGCTTCACTGGAGATCAGTCCACTATATGTGGACTTGCAGCATATTCAATAAATCATTGGCCTCTTAGTGCAACTTATGTAGAATTTAGGTGCCTTCATTCAAAAAAACTGATCTACAACTCCCAACATAGTTTAAAGTTCTGACAGTCCTTAGATACCTAAGTTTTGTGTAGTAAAGTTACTGAGGTGCCTAAAGTTCTGTTGTTGTCTGTGCTCAGAGATACCACTTCCTTGGCTAAGCATATTGGTGTCTATCACATGCATAAATATGTTTGGGATTTACAGACTAGGTACCCCAGTGCCTAACACCCCTGAAGGCCACAAGACAGAGCATGCTCAGAGCATGCCTAACACATGCTGACAGCCACTTTCTTTCAAAAGCAAACAGACAGATCTGGCCCATGGGCCAGAAGTTGAGCACCACTGGTATAGAGGTTAGAATGCTCTCCAACAAAATTGGAGACCTGTGTTCTAGTCCTCCTTCAGTAGAAGGGGCTCAAACCCATCTCTCCCATCTTCCAAGCTGGAGGCTAAACTGAAATGGAACACATTTTCACCCCCAGTGATGAAGCTGGCTGTTCTACATCACAGAATGCAAAATTCCCTGGGTCAGATAGAGAGTAAGCAAGACTGTACTCTAGATTAAAACCATATTTGTGTGGGTGAGGAGATTCATAGATTCATAGATGTTAGGGTCGGAAGGGACCTCAATAGATCATCGAGTCTGACCCCCTGCATAGGTAGGAAAGAGACTGCAGGAAAGAGCGCTGGGTCTAGATGACCCCAGCTAGATGCTTATCTAACCTCCTCTTGAAGACCCCCAGGGTAGGGGAGAGCACCACCTCCCTTGGGAGCCCATTCCAGACTTTGGCCACTCTAACTGTGAAGAAGTTCTTCCTAATGTCCAGTCTAATCTGCACTCTGCTAGCTTATGGCCATTATTTCTTGTAACCCCCAGGGGCGCCTTGGTGAGTAAAGCCTCACCTATATCTTAGATTCTCTTCTCTGCTTCAATGTTTATCCATTTTTATTTGGTATTATAATGAAAAATGTTCAAACAGTGTTGGGAGGAGGCACAAAAACTGAGGACTGCTCTATGTTTCCACCACCTTCTCAGCCAAAAAAAAGAGTGAGCCAGTTGCTCATTTCCAAAAAGAAAATCTTGAGTGCCTAAGTGTAACAAGTGGACTGTCCTGGGGCCAGTCCAAAGGTTGGCCCACATGCCTATCTAGGGCAGTCTGCCTACCTGCCTCGCCTGCCACACCATTGTTGTAACTAAAGATGTTCCTAGGTGAAAGGCTGCCTATGTAATTGCCCTGAAGCCAAGGGCGAATACACGACTGTGAACCTCCCCTTATAACGTCCCATGCCTTGCAGATGGCAGCCACCTCCACTAATATTCCCCCGGCCCCTTAGCTGGGCAGCACTCAGCCTTACCCAGCCCAAACTTGGCCTCAGGCGTCCTCAGATGTACCTGAGCCCCATGCCCCCCTCACTGGAGCATCTTCCCATGCCCTACTCTTTACTGTGGCCTCAACACCTGGCTCCCTCACTGGGCTTCTACCCACTTGTTTCCCCTCAATTGTGTCCTCTTCCCCTGTCCCATGCCCCTCTATATAAACCCCTTTCCTTCTGCCAATCCATTCATAGCATCTGACAAAGCATGTGGTCCAGCATCTGACTGGGCTGCTGGGCCTAATGCCCCTTGGGCCTCAGGCCTCACTCAATGGGCCTGGGCCCCGTCTCTTCAATCAGCCTGGACCTTGCCTCAGGCCCTGCTCGGTGGGCCTTGGCCCTGTGCTTTTCTGTCGGGGTGTGTTCCGACAGTCAATGGTCGGGGTTCAATTTCAACAGGGGACACAGATAATTTGCATAAGCCATGATTTAGTGCTGCCAAACCCAATGATTTGACTGTCGGAACGCACCCCGACCATTGAACCCAATGATTTGAATGGGGTGACCATAGGGGCACCTGCAAGGCAGCGGGGACTGAGGCTTTCCAGCGCCCCATACTCACCCTTCACTGGGGAGGCACAGGTCTGGCATTTCCTGGAGACTGCCCCATCACAAGCAGCCCCACCACAGGTCCAAAACAGAACTTAAAAGGTCAAAACTGGGGCCAAAGAATGAGGAAGCTTCATGAGGCACAGCTGTCTAAAGCAAATCAAGAAGAATGGAAAGAAATGCTACCAAACAGTCATAGTAAACAATGATATTTCATTTCAATTTACCTAAAAGACTGAAACTAATTCAGAAATTGTCACCCATGTTGTCAGGCTACTAGAAAGTCTTATCTGCCTACAGTAGAACAATTAGGATTTTTTTCACTTATGTTCTTCTTAGGGGTCTGATCTTTTTTCCCCAACAAAAAACTGTTGATCAAGCATTTATTTCTGCATGTGCAGACCCAAATGAATTCACATCCTCATTTTGATTACAGGGTAAGAGCAACACTTGTACCAGCAGCTCAGATGCACTGAGGTCTTAGAGCTAAGGCCTTAGAGGAGTGATTCTTAACGAGGGTGGAATGAAATCCTTTTGAGGGTATTCCACAAAGGCTTCATACAGATATTCATTTTCTCCTGGAAGAGTCACTGCTTTCCCAGGAGAAACCACAAGTACGCAGATATTTAGTCTTTTTCTCCCAGAGTAAAAATGCTGCTCCAGAAGAATAAACTGGAAACAACCAGGGTTAAATCACTCCAGGACAGTTTCTCTTGGGGCAGTGAATGGCTGTACATGCTGTGGCTTCTCTCAGAAGAGAACATGGTCCTCCAGCATACCTTCCTTTCCTGCCTCCCAGAGAGAGAATGTCATTCACTGGACTCTGCTGCTCCAGCACAGAGCCAAACATGCTCCCTTCACAAACCCCATATTGTGCTGCAGGGTATTAGGCTGACTATGGGCAGTTGATGTTAGCGAATCAGGGCTGCCCTGTGCATTGCTTACATCTATCACCAGGCAGACTAAGGGAGTCTGCGGATCACACTGCTGTGTGTGTGCAGCACCCCCCACCCCCTCCCCTACTGCATGTTGTCAACACTGCAAGCTCGCCCCTATTCAGGGCCTCAACATTCAATTGTCTATAAATGCAACTCTGGCTAGGTTTTTCTACCAGGAGAGCAAACCTGGGAGAATTCCCAGGAGAGATTATTTGAATGTGTATGCGCAACCAAAATTAGTATTATTAGCAAATAGATGATTCATAAGATAAACCAGAGATTTCAAATAGGAATCCATAGTGTCAAAAACATTCTGACCTGTTATGGTCTTTCTGGATTCCTTACAACAGAAGAATCACTCTATTATTTTTCCATAGTTAAGAAACAAGTAAAAACAAAGAGCTGGCATTTTCTGAGGGGCTCCTTGAGCATCTTTACACATGCCTCAGGATGCTTTAATTGGAGCTCTTGGGAGCCACTCTAATTAAAGCACCTGCAGCATCTCATGTTTTCAGTGTACCACACTTCAAAATGGCAGTGGGGGCGCTTTAATTAAATCTCATTCAAGGGGCTTTAGTTAAAGCACCCCTGCCACCATTTTGAAGCATGCGATGCTAAATACATGCAACACTTAGGCTGCTGGAGCATGCTAATGAGCACTCTCCAACAGACTCAATTAATCAAGTCTGCTTTGACATGTTCTAATCCGCAGGTGTGGGGCATGTGTATAGGTGCCCCTTGAGTCTAACAAGGACTGCCTTGAGTCTATAAAGGTAGAGGACCACTACAATAGCTGATATTGTCCAGGTCAAGTTAGAGAGCTGAGGTTTTAAAATTTACTTTAAACGCACTATACTTGGTTGCAGTGCTGTGCCTTCGTCCACTAAAGGTTTGTTTATTTTCAAGCTTTCTATTTTGGGAAAACATAGTTATATTATGCTTCAAAGAAAATTACTTGCTTCATATTTCTTTTTTTTAATGAAAAACCTTTATTTTTACAAATGTATTTTTCTTTTTCTTTTGCAGGAAGGAACTAATATTGTCTGGCACTTTAAATCCACTTAAGGACTTACATCTTGGAAAACTGGCATTAACTAAGTTTCCGAAGAGTCCAGAAACATGGATTCATAGGTTTGTCCTTTTCCCACCCTCCCCAAGTTTATATACTTCCAGCTCTTTTTCTCTACTTTCTCTTCATTAGGGAAAGTGGTGTAGATGATTGTGGACATTTGGAAATAGGAAATCTCCAAGCCATCTATGGTAAAATTTACAGCTTTGGCTTTGAAAAGAATCCTCTCTACCATGTTTTGGGTTTGCTATTTAAATAATATGCTTCTCTTTATGTTGTAGGTGTTTGTAATATAGCCATAGTAGTGTATAATTTCCCCAAAATTTTGTATTTACAGCAGCACCCAAAAGCAGCTTGAAAATTGCCATCAAACTATGCATTTTCAAATGTTTTACTTTTTTAAGTACTAGTTTTGTTTTGCAGACCTGCCAGAAAGATAAGATAAAGTAAGAATTAAGATAAATTATAACATTAATTGTATGTAGGTTTATATTCCTTCTTTAGTTTCTTTTTGTGCAACAATCTTATTTTCACCATCAAGAAGATTATTCAATGGCATCATTCAAAGATACTGCATTTGCCGCATTGAATCCCTCTCTAAAATCAAAGATTGTGGTTGGTCTTGGCATCCTGTTTTAGGTACAATAAATGTTTGATCATATTCAAAGTTGTAAATATATGTTTGTTCTCAGTCTTCATTTAAAAATCACACTTAGGAATTTTACCTATCTGCTCTTTCTTTGAAGTAACATCCATTACTGAAAGAGTTTATTTTATGTATAGTCAGTTTATAGTTAGTTAATTGCATTATTTTCCTTCATGTCAATGAAATTCTTGCACAGTATAACAAAAAAGAGAGACACAGTAAAGCTGAAACATAGGAACAATTAAGAATGTTCTTGTAAAATAAGAAAGGAAGTGGGCAGGAAGTGTCAGGAGCCAGTGGAGACCTTGAAACTGTTCTTTATGCAACTGATTGGATCTCAAGATGATAATTTCACCTCACCACTTTCAGACATTTCTGAAATTTTATGATTGACCTTTTTTTGAATGGCTAATTTGTAAGTTGTAGAGCCTTTTCAAAGATTACTTTTCTGCAAGCTGATGGGTAGTGTTGGTGGCATTTGAAATGGAAGTGAGCCAGGATGAAGTATACAAAAGGATGTTAAATTACATTTTTTACCTGTTGGTTATTAACTTGCAGGTTCTTATCCACAGATCTGTTCAGTTCAAAAGTTTTTATTAAAGAAGTATCTGATAAGAAACTCCTACATATTAACAGGGTTATGATCAACATAGCCATTGCACATTTGAAGCAGAGTAAAATGCTGTTATACATTAACAAATAAGTACTGTAGCAGGTTTAGCACTATGATGCCGAGTCTAATGTCACCTGGTGGTTGACCCTGCCTGCTATGCACTCTAGCCTCTCTGATGCCTCCCACTATCAAAACTTTGCTGCTATGTGTCATAATTTAGGAGGCTACTCACAGTAGCTGCAGCAATTTAGGTGCTTTTCTCTGCCATTCTTCTCATCAGATGGCCAGTCCAGCCTAATCTGGACTCACTAATGAACCCTAGCAACAGCTGCCTCCTGGCTTCCCAGGTTCACTGTGTTTCCAAGCTGATCTAAGACATTATTAAGCCTAATTCGATCCCCTGCAAGATATGGACCAGGATGAGCTCCTCAGCCTAGGAATCAGGCTCCACCTCCTTGTGGTTACATGATTTCTGATGCTCAAAACCAACCACAAGGGTTACTCTTTATCAGCAGCAGCATCCCACTGGGCCCTGCTGTAGCGGTTCCCTAACTAGCTGCCTGGAGCTCTGAATCTACCTGTTTTTGCAGCTTTACAGCTTGGGACCCTGCTGTCCTTCAGCTGTACTTAATTAACAGAGATTAAGAGCACCTGTTACAGTATTAAAATAAAATAAATCACTTGAAATACCTTGCTTTTCTTGGTGTTTCCATGTCATATATGTCTAGCTTAGTAACAAAAAGGATGTTTTCTAAGGCTGCTGGCAGAAGTTAAGGCAGTCACACAATCCGGCTGGAGAACTTTATGCTCTAGTCCTCAAATCACTTGATCTGCCATGTCCCACACATGCAAGTCACATGATTCTGCGAATGGGGCATAAAATTCCTCAAATCCCAATTGCGTGACTGCCGTCTGCCAGCTTGGAGAGGCGGACACCAGCACGCTCCCTCCTCCTCAGCTGCATTCCCTCCCGTCTCAAACATGGAAGCAGCAACTGGGGAACTAGGAGCTCCCCATTCTCCAGGTGCTGCTTCCACCTGCACCCAGGAGCATAAAAAAGTATACATGGAGCTGGGGCTCCCAATGTCACTCCCAATGAAATGAATGAAGTGATCTACCAGTGTTACACAGAAAGGAATAGAATCCCTTTCGTTTGCTTTTAGCTGTACTGACAGGTGCAACACGCAATAAACTGTTTTTTCTTTTGTTACTCAAGTCAGCCAATATGAGTAGATTTACACAGGGTTTCAGAGCAAAAAAACTAATTTTACCGTAAAACTTTTTTCAGCATAAAAAGCTCAGGTCAGTATTATGTAAGCCTTTTCAAAAAGGAGTTCTTCAAAAAAATTTTAAACATCCTTTTGCAGAATGTTTTTGTTTTCAGATTCTTTTTTTTTTCAGTTTGTTTTCACAGTTATACAACTAGATATGGCTGATAATTAGAACCAAGTACATTAACAAGTCTAGAGCGGGATCAGATGCTGTGAAATATTTCCATAAACTGATGGCTTTGGCATCTGAATAACTCACAAGTGTTCTATTTCATGTGTTTCTTTTCCAACCTTACAGTTTCATGTTAATTCAGATGAAAACTTAAATATGACTTAGTCGCCTTAAGCAATGAAATAAAGAGCAAAAAAGTATTTTGTTTCTTGTGTTTTCCTCTTAAAATTGCATTATTAACCCTGTGCACCATTTAACCAGACGATGGGTGCTGCAACAATTAATTCAGGAAAACTCCTTGCCCACTCTTGTGAATAAAGGGAACATGGGAACAGTGCCTACAGAAAGAATTCAGCGGCTAGTGCAGGAGGAAATGGATGTCTGCTGCGAAGCTGCTGGGAGATATCCAAGCAACTACAATGCCTGGTCCCATCGTATCTGGGTTTTACAGCACTTGGGAAAGCTCAATGTCAAGGTACAGTATAATGACAAATGCACTGCTGCAGCTAAATATCTGTATTTTAAATGCGGATTGTCAAAGGGCACATCATGGAGGGAGAAGTGAATAATCACCAGTGTGGAGTGGCATACACAGCCAATGTCTAAAGCATTGTAGTGACGAAGATGGTTCTGGCATTTTCCTACCAAAGTACCATGCATTTCTCAGAATTTAATGAACCAGTAGAGAGTAGATGAGAGTGTGGGAGAAAGCAGAAAAGAGCACTGAGCATAAATTATGTGCAGGCATAAACTTTGAGAGTCCATTAAAATAAAAAGATGCTACGTGGCACGTCATTCCAGTACTGTAATGTTCCTTTTTTTGTTTTGCTTCTTGTACTCTGTCATCTTGAGCTGTCAGAATGTGCATGAAGGACTCAAATAGGATAAAGACACCAGGCAATTTAGAAATTGTAAAGTGGTGCTTATGAAAATGGTTACAAGATCCAAGGGCACCCTTCAGCAGAGTTTATGCTGAGTGTAATGAATTGTCATATCAAAAAGGCAGAACTGGCTAACAGGCCTGTAGTGTGCCTCTTCAGCTTCCACAGAGATGTCTTTTGAAAATCTTCTTGTTGCCCCTCAGGCATATTCATATGGTACAGCCTATAACAGAACGTACTTAGGACTTCCAACAAGGTGAGGTGGTTGACATGATGAGATCTAAAATTAAAAAGGACATTTTTCTAATTACTACTTATGCTGTAGTTTTCTCAACTGTGAAGTGAGACGGTTTCCTTTATTTTGCTGACAGTGACCTTTCTTGGTAGCTATATCTGGCTCTTCATTATTTCAGCCATGAATATGACCATTTGTCACCCCATCTGTGTGGGGGGTTTCGGGGGGGGGGGTTGGTAGGTTGCTAGGAGAGTGCTGACTACACCTCTGAACTCTGGCCCTCATGCTCCCATTTGGCTTCTAATATTCCATGTTCTAATTTGTCACCGAAAACATTGTTTTTAATCTGTATGAGTTCAATAATAACCTGAAAAGTATGTCATAGTCCACATATTATAGTCCCCATATTATAGTCCCACAGTCTGGCAACCTGTCTCACTTAACTTCCAAATAAAGAGTAAATGTGAAAAATGCAAAAGAATGACAGGATGTAGTCAGTGTGGTGATTATGAAAAGGATAGAGACTTAAGAATCAGGGATTCTCACACAAACTCTTGCTTGGTGTGCTTTTTATTTCGGTGCAGCTAAATGGAGCATAACCATTCCCTCCTTTAATAGGCAGCGGTTGTTTGAAGGACAGAGCACCATCCCTTTTACAACTCTAGATTATAAAACATATATAAAGGCAGAGGGAAGATGCAGCTTGACACAACCTGTTCTTTTTGGATCCAAATAAGATTTGCTCTCCTCTGTTTTGGGTTCCTATTCACAGAGCTCCGTGAATTGCATTGAACAATGGCAGTTCACAAATAATTAGAGTGGCAAAGGAAATGCAGGTTACATACTAACTGCCTCCCTGTCAAAGATTTTTTTTTTCAAATTTATGTTCTGAAACTCCCAATTCTCTCTGCTTTCTACTCATCTTGGCAGTCCTCCCAGTTCCCCTATTGGTCTCCTTTTAATCCTGAGGAAAGATCTTTATGCTGATTCCAGAATCCTTTGCAACAAATGCTGATACAGCACTTCAGCATCATTGCTGCCCTGCATTCGATATGGTGCTGGATGCATGAAAGCTTTAAAGCTGGGTGGGAAGCCAGGAGGACTGGGGGAAGGGTCTCAGGGTCTCTGTAACTTGGGGAACATAAATAGACAGAATTAGAAAATGGGTAGTTTTAACAGATACAGAATTAAGCAATGTGAAAAGAATTAAGGAAAAGACAAGCCAAAATAAAGAAACATGACTGAAAGACTTTTTTACTCTTTTAACTGAGACCTGAAGGACTATTTTTTAAAACTGGTCTAATTTGGCATCCTCAGTTGGGCTTAGATTTGTATAACATACTGTGAATGTATGTTTATAATATTTTAGTGTAGAGCTGCCTTTTTTGCGACTAAAAAGAAAATAGAACTCTGCTTTGTCCTTTATCCCCCACAGCTTTTAGTGCCCATAGTTTTGCAACTAAGTTGAGGTCCCTTTTAAACCTTTGGTTCAATATTATTATTATTAAAATATGGATATTTACACCACTACACTGTCCTAGAGACCAGCTGGGTTTTTTATTCTATTTTTTTCTTAATCTAGACCATTCTTAAAATTAAAAAATGTAAATATATTTCAGTTAATTCTGACAGACCTTGTTTTTGAAAGAGTGTAAGAAGTATTAGAGGAGAGAGTTTGATCCTTCATGTAGATTTTATTACAAACATAGCCTCGTTCTTATTTATGGAGGTATGAAAATAGTCTGTGTTATTGGATTCTAAAAATCTCAGCCTGCTTATGAAGTACACCTAAGACCAATAATCCTACTACAGGCCTTAAATATTTTATCATGCTAGTGTTAGTGGACAGGTCTGTATCATCTTGGCAGGAGGTGGCCAGTGGTGTCCCTCAGGGTTCAGTTCTTCTTCCTCAGTTCTGTATCATCTTGGCAGGAGGTGGCCCTGTGCTGTTCAACATTTGTATCAGTGATTTAGATGCATGCTGGCCAAGTTTACAGACGATACTAAGTTATGGGAAAAGTGGTCATGCTAGGGGTTAGTATGCAAATCCAAGTGAACCTGGACAAGCTGGAAAGGTCGGCGGAGTGAAACCAGTTGCTGTTCAATAAGGATAAATGCAGAGTGCTTCATTTGGGAAGAAGTAACCAGCAACATGAATATAGGTTAGGAGTGTCGGGGCCGAGGGGCTGTGGCCAACAGCCCGGGCACATGGGCCGGGGAAAGGGTCGGCACGGCAAACTAGAATTAGGCACGGACGCGTAGAGGTTGATTAAAGATTATTTTACTTACACCGTAGGTGGTCGCGGTGCAGGCAGGAAAACTTTCTTGAGTTGCAGTTACAAAAAAA